GGGCCAGGCCAACTTCGACACCCAACCAGATGTACGTATCGCTCGCTCGTGAATTTTGAACCACGGTAAAGCAGCCGAAGTATCCAACTGCCGTAGACCCAATCCCAATGAGAAGGAGAACTTGGAGGCATGCGAGGCGTATACGGGAGGGCATATTAGTTGGCAGGGAAGGTGCAGCCATTTCTATCAAATTTTGGTCCTCGTATGCCGACAATTTCGATGGTAGCCTAATCATTATCCAGTATTCGTCCATACACAGGAAAATGAATCACTAACTGCAAGGAAGCTGTCGTAGTCCACGGAGAGCTATCCGGCGTACTCTGGCATTGACCTAAAGGAGCTGTGGAATTGCCCTTTTCAACATCATAAAGCGAAGTTTTCAACGGCCTACATATTATCGGTTTAAGTGCTGCACGGGAGAAATACAAGTCACTTACCGAGATGTCATCAATGTCGATTGGAGAATCCGTTCCATTTGGATTTGGATAATCATCTGGGCTACGACGACGGATATTCCCGATCCCACGATGCGCATAAGGGGAGGTGCCCAAGCGGGGAACGCCTTCAAAGGCGGGCGATCGCTCATTATTATGCAGATGTACGGTGTGATGCTCAAGCAGGCGAGCAAGCCAGTCGAGAGGCACAGCTGCCAATTCCAGCTGTAATAGTCGAATTTGAGTTGCAGCTGCGAGTTATCGATGTGTTGCTCTTCAATAAGCTCCTGAAACTTCTGGGTCGCGATGTATTGGGGGATATGCCGTCTCTTCCCGTCGAACCCTTCTCCTTTGCTGTTTTTATTCGTCTTCGTCGTCCCGGATTTTAGTGCGTCTCGTTTTGAAATAGTATGGGGTATCGTCCCAATCATCGCAGCGACAGAGCCTTCAAGTTTGAAACCAGCATCTGCGAGCATCTGTGCGAACCGAGGGGAGATGCTGGCGACGAGGATGGCAGCTGAGGCTTTAACTATCCCGAGCGAGCCAAACATCGATAGGGGCGTGGCGGCCGCGTAGAGGAAGCCTCCCTCTAGCGCATCGCCCACATGTCTCTCGCACTGCTCCGTGCCGATGATAGGGAGAAACGCAGAAATGTCCTGGATGCCTGAGACCAGACTGGTACCGTCGTTGGTTTGAGCCATGCTGCGATAACGAACAATTTAATTCGGGCAGGATGATGCTGGATCTGCTCGAGCAATCTGTAACTCGGTCAAAGATTAGCGAAAGAACGACGACGCACCGTCGCCCACGAGTGTCGAAGATGAATGGGAAAAAGTGCGCAGAAACGTGGCGAGTCTGTGCCGGCTTGACTTGACAGACTGTCAGTAGTGTTAACGGCAGCTATTTAATTGACCCATCTGGTTACATTCCATGCTGAAAATACATCCATTAAATTAAAGACGAAAGTGCGAGAGTCACCAGCGGTTTATTCAAGTTTTCCGCGTATATCTATGGCATGGCAGTGGTCTGTCAATTTTTTTCTGGAGTGCGGCGGGTATATCCGCGACGGCTCCCAAGAATATACGTTCGGGAACGCTCTTAGGAATCCTGAGCGGGGTAATTTACTGCGCCTGTTACATCTTGAGGTCAGCGTGTAGAACGTAGTTTGCCAAACCAGCGCACCAAAGGACGATTTCGAGGGGCAGTAGCAAATTCAAGAGGGTATCACTGCTTGATCCAAGGCAATACTCTGCGCGACCGGCATCTCGGCAAGGCTTTGACCAGTTCTAGAGCGTCGGCGAATACGGGCCGACGAGAGAATAGTTTCCAAGGAACACATTACCCGAATTCGCGCATTTGGTAGCGTCTCGGATTTAGCTAGCATAACGAGCGATTCGCTGCGTTCCGGCCCCCCGTAGACCAGCTGTGGCTAAAGCGTCCTAGCCTGGCCCACCTCTGGCTACGTTTGTCGATAGGGGTAGACAAGGGTGGTGGCGGAGTCATGGACACATCGTGGGCTAAGGCATCCTAGCTGAGTGTAGGCTGTAGCCAAGCCATGTCTACATCAGTTTGGCAGTCGACCTGGGTCTATCTTCGGGCGACTGACCTCGCCCAACCTGGTTTGTCGATTTAGCGTCGATTTAGCACAAAAAATTAAAATTTTCAGGCTAACATAATCACAAACCGACCTTGGTCTATGGCCGTAGGCATGAATGGATCCAGGTACCCAGAGGTCGACGGATGTAGGCCAGTGTACACACTGGGGCTACGGACGTAGCCGAATGTAGACACAAATCTGGGTTGGGCTACGCCTGTAGACACACCCTGTGTCTACGAGAGGCCTCAATGCAGGGCATCATGAGGTCGGATAGTCCATCGCGAACAGAAGGGAAAATACAAGCCACTCTCGATGCGCGTAGTATTAGACGCTGGACCCCAAACTAGAATTACTTTTATCGGTCAACAAGCAGAATGAGAGAGGAACAAGGTACTCACGGATAACCCTAATCTGCCTTTACCGAGAGCGAAACGGTGCAAGGAATTCCCGGGTCAAACGCGTTCGGGGCTGACCACCTCTTAGATCAAGAAGAGACCCGGCAGCACGTTGTGTGAGAGGAATCAGCGTACCGGCGGGACTTGAGCAAGCTGTGTGACCGTCCCATGTTCATAGCAAGCGAAATTCAAGACATTCCGAGTCCGGCGAGCAAATCGCACTCGGGGTGCCGCCTGCATCTCCGGGAGACGCATCGGACGGAGAGGTGGGTGTCCAGCTGTCCCTGCCAGGCTCGTACGGGTCGCGGAATAGCTTGGAATGCGGATGAAGCGCAACCTCTGGACTTCCTCCTCGATGATTCCGAGCTATTCCGGTGCGCGAGGATCCGCGTCCGTTGTTTGCGAGCACGAGAAGGGTTGAAGAATAGGTATTGTGATCACTAGGATTCCCCGTGAAGCTGTAGATGGTGGGGAAAAGACAAAGCGCTCGAGACAAGTTCTAGAAACTAGACGCGCCGATCGAGGTTGAGGTCGAAGAATGCTAATGTGGCTGTGCCGGCGTTTGATCCGAGTCATCTGGCAACGTCTTGTCCCCAAAAAATGTCCGAGTCGTAGCAATTCAAGTTGGAGAGATTCTGCCTTGCTCAAAATTCTGGGCGGAAATGGACTGCCCACAGCGCTTGTGTCTACGACAAATATCGAACATTCAAGCTGAATTCATGTTAAAATTACAAAGGGAAAAAAAACAAATCCCGCTGCTTCTATATGTACTGAACTTCGTCAAGGTTTCGTCAAAAACAATGGAGGGTCTACAAGATATCTACGTAATATGTACAAGGCAAGAAATACACATTATACCGGTGGTAACATACTTTGAATCTCAGAGCGTGAATCTAGTCCCCGCCGCCCTCCAACGCCTTGACGATTCCGAACGCCGCTGCGGCCGCAATGCCCCCGACGAGCAGCGTGCTCACCGCGCCCCACACATACCCGCCAGTGCCCACGCCCGCGCCCGTTACGCGCGCCTTGACCGCGCCAAAGAGGAGCAGCACCAGCCCCGTGATAATTGCGCTCCACATCAGCGCGACGTGCGCGCGCGGGATGAAGAAGTACGGCAGCAGCGGGATGATACCGCCGACGAGGTACCCCGCGCCGATCGTGGCCGCGGAGATGTACAGGCGGCTCGTCGGCACCTCCTCGAGCCCCGCGCCGAACTTGAGCAGGAACGGCGTGAGCCCGACCTCCTTGCTCCAGCGCAGCGACTCGTTCGACTCGAGGTCGTGCGCGGCGACGGTGTGCGTGGAGGCTGCGGGGAGCTCGGCCTCGCGGAGGCAGCGCGCGACGGCGCGGCAGGTGCGTTCATCAACGCCGATGGGTGCAAGCACTTCGGCGACTTCTCGCTCCATCTCCCCGTCGCAGCTCCGGACCACACGCGCAGCGGTGGAGTCGCGCAGGAAGCGGTAGTGGTCGCGCTCCGCCTGGGACGCCAGGAAGCCGCCGATCCCCATACTGATGGCGCCCGCAATCAACTCCGCCACACCTCCGAGAACGACGAGCCGCGATTCACCGAGCGACGACAGGCCGGCGGTGAGCGCAAAGGGCACCGTGAGACCGTCTGAGAGGCCGATGATGCTAGTGTGGAGTCTTTAGGAAAAGGGGGTTTTCGGCGAGTGGCAAAGACATACACGTCGCGGACAACATCTGGGTCGATGAGTGTGCGGTCGTCGCCTTTGAGATCTTTGCAGCAGACATTGTCGGGCCGGACGTGGCGCGAGCAGCGCGCTGAAGGTGGAATTGGCTGGGCGCTAGGTGCTGCAGCGTCGAGGGCCCAGACTGGCGGTTTTGTGGAGTTGTCCGTGGCCTGGGGACGTGGGAGAGGAACAGAGGGCGCGGGTGTGGAGGACATGGTGGCAGGAAGAAAGAAAGATTTGCTTCGGCGCCTTCCATTTTTGGAGCTATATTGCCATTTGAAACTCCGGCGCGGCTGATCGAGCCAATCGCAGGCGGCCAATTGGCAGCCCTCATGTGACCCGGAGCCAATCAACTGCCGCACATTCGCATTGTCAGCGGCAAGGATCATGCAATAACCGCCGAAAGGCCGCGTATACATGTGGGACGCGTTTTATGCGCATTTTGCGACACAGGACCTTGAAAGTAGCTGCATTTATTCAAGGGACCTCCAAGAAATTTGAACCAGGTAAATCAGAGTCGCTGCAACGGTCGCCATCAAATACGAACAAAAATTCAAACCATACGTAAATGCATTCGGCACCTCCCAGTTGGTAGTCTAGGGTTGTGATTGCACGACTTCGCGGGAATATCCAGTGTAGCAAGTCCAACTTGACCACAGAAATCTCGGAACCAAAAATCAATCAATGGTTGAAAAATTTAAACCTCAGTGCTTTCTCGGAATGGGCGACTCTTCCGGGGTTCGAACGTAAGATCTCCCGGTTACAGAGTAAACTTGGTGGATGGAAATTTCAAGAGGGCTCGTGAAATTCTCGGGAGTTTGAAAAAGAAATCACTTCATCAAAACAAAATCGGCAAACACCTTGCTTCGCGAGGAGCAAAAGATGATTCGACCCAGGTTCGAACTGAGGACCGCCTGTGTTACAATTCCAATTTAATTGTTAGACAGAAGTGATAAACCAACTACACCATCGAACCGACGAAATCAAGGCTCAAGGTGAGGGTCACCATCTGCCAGCAAATCCATCCTGTGCATCCACAGGATGCATTTGACATACGGAGAGCATTTGCAGACTTCGAGTTTTCCTCACCCGGATATCAAGTGTAAATCATGATTATCGTGGCATGGTAACTATATAATGGCATAAGTTAAGCATACTCATATGGGTCGCTCGGTGGGATATGACGGGAAGGAACGCAGGTATCGCGAGGGTAAAGGAAGGTCGTCGTCAGACACGAGGGGAGTGGGGGAACGCAGTAGGTATCGCGAGGGTAAGAGAAGGGGTGGTCATAAGAAACGAGCGGTACGGGTAAATTTAGAATGAAAAGTAAAAGAAGGACTTCGATGGTGACACGTACGATCCTACGATGAGGATGGTCCAGCAACGGGCGCCGTCGAGGGAGTCGTCGCAGCAGCGTTCTTGATTGCCAACTTGCCAATGTCGTTATGGGCCCCCAAGAGCCGTCGTCGAGGCGAACCTTGAAGCGATTGCGCTTGCATTGGGAAGAGCTCTTCCGAATGGCGCCAAGATGCTTCGCGATGTCAGGAAATTCCTTGCTACAGCCGGAGCACTTGTAGTTGTACTGGGGTGACGAATAAATGAGCCTCATATTGGGTGAGCGGTCAACAATGCTCACCACCTGTTTCACGCGAGGCTTCTTGCTTGGGCCCGCCTAGGAAAGAGCTCGGTCAGCCGTTAGACAATGTGAAGCGAAAGCAAATACCGCGGCGTCGTCGTCGTCTGAGTCAGACTCTTCGTCATCCGAAGGCTATGCACGAATGAGCCGAGATGGATCATGAATAGCTGGAGAAGAAACATGCCTCATACTCGCCCGCTTCCTCGGACGCGCACCACACCGCAAAGTTGTGAACGGGTCCAAACTGACTGCGTGGCAGCGAAGGATCCCTGATTTTGAATTGGACCGCCTTGCACTTGCTCGGGATATGAGAACGGATATCGCGCAACTGCTTTCGGTGTGACATGCAGTAATGATTCCGGTCGACCTTCACGAAAGGGTTCTGCTCGACGATTAGAGAGGGCAGATGGTCGCATTGGAGAAACTCACAGCGGCCGTGTACTTGCGCTTCTTGCGCTTGACAGCTGGCGGCGCGGCGGTGGCACTCGGCGTTGCAGCGGCGACAGTCGGGGCGGTGACGCTTGACCCGGATGGCTGCTCGACATCGTCGTAGAGGTGGGCGAAGTCGACGACGTCGACGTCCATCGGCTCCTCGACCTTGGGGAGACGGAGTCGACGAATCGACGTGTGATTTGTGCTGCCGCAGATGGGGACACGGTGAAACACGACCAGGTGAACGAGGTAGTCGTGCGCGTTGAAGGACTGTGTCCCGCACGACGGTACTGCACACAGGCGCATCTCCTCGGGGTTCAGGAGGATCTCATTTTGGTGGCGGCTGAGATGCAACTGAAAATCCTGATTGCGACAGAACCTGTGTGAGCCAGCGCGTCAGCATCAAGAGAGATGTAGGAAGGGAGGAACCACGTACTGGACCATCCGCACCTCCATCGACAGCGTTTCGTCGTACACGCAGATAGGGCAGAAGCAGGGTGCGAGAGGAACCTGATGATCAAGATGACCGTGGAATTCCGGCCGCTCGCCACCGAGACCCGACCCGTTTTCATACTGGATGCGCTGGTCGACCGACGGAGTGAAGATGACACCGTGCTCAGAAAAGTCGACGACTGCTTCGACCTGCAAAACGAAGGGGAGGAAGAGGACGGCAAAATGGTCCAAGCAGTGTTCTCTCCAGAGCTCGCCGTCGCCGTCAAAGTCAATGAACCTATAACAAAAAGCTGGATGAGTTATCGAAACAACCGAGAAGGGACACAACGTACGACTCTGCGCAGATCGCACAGTACTTGACATCGATCTTCTCTGAAGGGTTGACCCCGTGGACCTGCGCAAAATGGGTCTCCAAGTCCTCGCAGCCCATTTCGCCGCAGGGCTTGCCCCCCACTTCCCACATGCACGACGCCACTCCACGTTGGGCCATCGCGAACCGGAGATTCTCGATATGGCGTGTCAAGTGCTGGCAAAACTTGGCGCGGGTGGCCCAGACCGTCTTGTCTCCGCATGTCGTCCAACCACAAGCTTGCGCGGTGTAATTAGCCTCGGCGTCCTTTTGCACGTTTTCCCGCAGTTGCTTCATGATGCACGCGTGAATATGTGTAGCGACGTTTCCGCCTCCCTTGTTCATATTCGCCGCGCTAGGAGACTCGATGTCAGAGACACATAAAAGGGAGGTCGCGGTCGGTCGCTTACGTGGTTTCCTTGTCGCATACTGGGCATCTGCCATCGTGGGTTGGGCTCTCACCCGGATAGCAGAGCTTGAAGGGTCGGTCGGGAAGACCGAGAAGGGCGTTTACCGACGCTACGAAATGAGCATCACCCGCGTTTTCCAGGGTGAAGTTTTTGATGATTGCGTGGGCATCGTCCATTGGGTCCGAGACCGCCATGCGATGAACACGAGCCGAGCGAGTACCAGCGGGGGCGTGGGCATGGGCATGGGCGTGGGGATGAGCATGGACGTCGGGGGGCGCGTGGACGTGGGCGTGGTGATGAGCATGGACGTCGGGGGCGTGGGTGTGAACGTGGGGATGAGCATGGACGTCGGGGGGCGCGTGGGCATGGGCGTGGGGATGAGCATGGACGTCGGGGGGCGCGTGGACGTGGGCATCGACGGAGGCGTTGGGGGCGCGGTTCTCCTTCCCTGGAGCAGGGACCTGGCCTTGAGGAGGATGAGGAGGTAAATTCCGCGTAGCCGCGAGCGGAACACGGCTGGTCGGCCCCTAGTGCGGCGGTGAGAAGTGATTCAAGGCTTGTGAAAAGTGTCTTACTATGCCACGCAATTGCCGGAAGGAGGCTTCTTCAAAGTACTTGGCCCGCTTCACCTTGACGAGCGCGTAGGTCTCGCGCGTAACGATGGCGCCGTGTTTGCGGTCAATGTCGCGGATCTGTGTTCGGATCCCGCGAATGACTTGGCGCTGGGCGTCTTTGTCTTCATCTGTGATTAACCTGACGAGCTCGGTGATCTCCCGTTTGAGCTGCGCGAAGAGCTGAATAGCGAGCGGGTTTAGGAGATGATACACCGCATGGATGAATAAACATACCTTGGCTTTTTCCTCACGAAACTGGACGAGCTCCTCGTCCGCCAAGAGCTCGTTCATTTCCTCGGCGTCGAGAGAAATCGGAGCGTTCGGATCTCGATTTTTGGACATGCCACATGCCGCCTGCGAGGGGGATGAATAAGAGGCATAAGCAACAAAACAGGCGCGACAAATGCGGACCTTCATGAGCTGGACATTCTCTTCGTTCTCCTCGAGCCGTCCCGCGAGGATCGCGCCGAGATCAATTACCGCGAGCCGCGACTTGTAGCTCTTCTGTAGAACGAATGAGAATGGTAGATGATGAAATTGGACCAAGACGACTTGCAAAAAATTGGTCGGACCCGGGAGTTTGTCCCATCATCTGAACTCGTTCGTCTTCTGGGAGCGCGGCGTTCATATTGTTGGCGGAACAGCGACGGAAGCAGTAGAACGTGAACCACACTGATGGCAAGAAAATCAGCTTCGAATAGGAGCGAGGAGACAAAGAGCCTTACAAACGAATCCGAGAAAGAGACTAATTTTGCGCAGGAACCCAGCGAGCATATTATACGGCATCGCCAGGGTGTCGGACGTGACCCATTTGCCGCCCTCGTGGTCGTACACTTCTTTTCTGAATACAGGTTGCTTGAGGACACTTGGCTTGAGACGGAGTTTGTGGGCACACGTGCAGGGATGTTTAGGGAAAAAGACCTCTTCGATGGTATCCACATCCTCGAAGATGTCGTCGTCAAAGGCCTTGACAAACGAGTACATGAGTGCATCGACATGGCGATGGCTGTCGGGCTCTTTGAGTATGAAGAACTTTTTGTTCGCGGCCTCGTCGTCGCGATGTCCTTTTAGCCAGTCCATGGTCAATATGAGTGCGGGGTGAGGGCGGTGAGGGTTGTCGGGATTTGGGATGACCCAGTACTCGTGGCTATCCCAGGTCATGGCCTCGTTCGATCCTCTGTAGCAGCCCGACTCGACAAGTGCTCCTGGCCGTTCCGAAGACAAGGCGCTGATGAGACAAGAATAAATCGTGTCATAGCGTGCACGATTGGTCCTAAAGTAGCGCTTGTCGGCGAGGACGCCTTGGACGAGCACCTCTACGTCGACAATGTTGGCAGTCTCCTTGACGCGAGCTTTTGTCGACAGTGGTGATGTTTCGTCAAAGGCGGCGGAATGGAAATAGCTCAGGACGTGGTTTCGGTACGCGGATGGGACGGGGAGAAAAGCGTATTGACGCCAGAGTGCGAAATATTTGAAGATGTAGTTCTTGACAGTGCTTTTGACGACGTATTTGTCCAGCCGGCCCTGGAGAGTGTAGCCGAGCCAACGAACGAACTCTTTCGTGACGCCTGGGACGAGTTGAGAGGTGATTGAATGCAAAAGGGAGGGCATACCATAATCGGGCAGCTGCGCGCCTGGAACGATCTCGGCGGGGAGGGTGTCCTTGTCGGGGCGGGAGTCGACGAACAAGTGCCACAGCTTCTTCGTGCGGTTGTGGGACTCGAGGGTTGGTTGAGCGAGCTTCTTGTAATGAAACGTGCCAGCGAGGGACACGGTCATGGCGGCTCGAGTCGCATCGTCCGCTTCGGCCAGGCGCTGGGCCGCGGACTCCTGGTCGGTGATGCGGGCCTTGGAAAGACGCCCCATGATTAGGTAGAATTATAACTTGGTCATACAATAGCGGAAGAGGGAGAGAGAAAAAGAGGGTGGTGGGCAGAGCCCGTGAGGGGAGGAAGGAAAGAGCGAGAATCGACGCGTCGACGCTTTTACGTGCCGCGGAGTTTGAAAGAGCGGAGTTTGTAAGAAATGACGTCGCGCGTGCTAAACCGAATTGTGGCGGCGGGCGGCCTTGTCCCAGATTCA